GCTTTCGGGCTTGATCCCCAGTAGGGGGTGTGCAGAGGGCAGCTGATCGGTGATGTTTCTTTCTCGCCAATGTTTCTATCCCTCTCCCCCTCTAAAAGTCAGTAAAAGCACATTCAAATTTTGTTTAAAAAAGTTACTCTTGAGTAAATGGTAGAGCTGGGCTTTGAACCCTGGTGGTTGGAGATCAGAACCATCAGAACTCACTTTGGAGCCGTTGTGCTGGGCAGCTTCCTGGATAGTGGGCCTTCGGAAAACACTTGAAATAATGTTGTTGTTTTTTATGTGTAGACACCGGTCAGTGGCCCTTACAACTCTACGTTGATATCATGTTCAGTCATGATGTCAATGAGTGTGTGTGTGTGTGTGTGTGTGTGTGTTTGGAAAAATTGGGACTTTTTTAAAACGCCGCGGGACGCGGGACAAATTGTTGAAAATTGGGATGTCTGGTCACCTTTGTATGTGTGTGTGTTTTAATTCTAAGAAAGACACGAGTTACTTGTATAAAGTGTAATCGAGAAAGGAAAGAGGAATTATCAGATCCTCCAAATTATTTGAGGGAAGTTAATGTTTTTTGATTTTTTTTTTTTTAAAAAGGAGGAACCTCTGTGATTCAGAAACTGCTGGTTTAAGGAAACCTTTGGAGCAGCGGTCGCCAGCTGGTGGTCCCTGAGGTCTGGAAGGTTGGTGACCGCTGGTCTAGGAGATGCAGTGCTCTGGAGAATGGTTCGGAGAGGTCACAGTTAGGGGGGAACGGCTAAGCTGTCTGTGTACATCTTCTCATGCAATTCTCCTAATAGCCCAGCAAGGTGGGTGCGCGTTAAAAGAAAACATGGCTTAGATCTGGGCCCTGCTATCCTCGGTGTGTGAGCCCGGAGCCTGTGCTGTGTCAGGCCATGGCCTTGGACTTGGGACTTCAGGCACCTCCCTGCCTTGATCGTGTATGAAGGTGACTTTGTAACAGAAGCCAGAAAGGACAAGCTGGGCACAGGCTGTGAAAATGAAAGGAAAGGCCTCTGTGGGGTTGTTTTCACCAGTGGCAGGATGTCACCAGTGTTTGCGTTGGTACCGAATACTTAGGGAGTTCTAATACTATGCCAGATTTGGGCAACGGAATTACTTTCCGTCGGAGCCAGTGAATTTGCAAAGCGAAATTCTGTCCTGTGTGTGAAATCCAGCCCCTGTTGGCTGGGCAGGGCCCAAATCCCAAGGGAATGTTAGAGAGACTTCTGGGTGCAGGATTGAAGGTGGCGCCCGCCTCTTGCAACCGTCTGACCCCGAGAGGGAACACCTCCCACACACTGTGCTGCTGGGTCTCTTGCTTCTCTCTAGTCTGAATTTTTACAGACAGTAGATACTGTGACCAGGAACTTGTTTCATATGTATTTCTATCCAATAGTAGAGATATGCTCCTAGGATGAAAAATACCTCTGATACCCAAAGGATAATCAGAAATAGGAAATTAAGGAATTACACTTTACCCAAAGTGATTTGTCACTAAATATGCAAAATCTGAATGTGAGGAGTTAGTTATGTTTTAAGTCAGGAAGAAAAGGGAAAGATTAACTACTAAAGAGCCCCTCCACCCTCTTACTTTCCTACCCCCCTCTCCCCCCGCCTCCCTGTACACGTACTCAATCCAGCAGCAGAGGCCCCAGTCCTTCCCCCACATTCTCAGGCAGACGCTGCTGGCTTTGGGGACTGCCTTGGCAGGCAGGGACCATGCAGGAAAAGACCCAGATGCAGCAAAAGGCCCTGATTCAAAATGCAGAGGAAAGAAACTCCTGGAGACGTGTATTTCCGGAGACTCACGATAAAGAACCTTAAAAATCTATTTAAGTAGAGCTTTTCCCAGTAACGTGTAACATATGTCCCTTCCTTAGAAATTGGGTTCGAACGGTTTTTCTTTTTTGTTGTTGTTTGGTTATCGTGACGTTTCTGGACATGAACACAAACCACGGGCCTGTTTGATGCATTCCTTTGTGCGTGGGCACTCGCTGCGAGCCTGGTGCGCCAGACCCGGCTTGTGGCAGAGCGATAGAGCTGTCTCTGCCTGGAGGCACCTCAGCCTATTTGTATATAAATAGACACACGCAGAAGAAGGAGCCTGAGCCAGATGGTTTGGCTGCTTTTCCCTCCACAGGCACACGCGAGGATCGCGCAATGGCAACACAACCCAATCCTGAAAACTGTTGTGGAAACAGTTGGTGCTGACAAACCTATAGGCCACGTTCAGATTTGGTGCTGGAAACGTGCTCTGCCTTCACAGGTTCCTCTGAGGATCGTTCCCATCATTCACCCCAGGGCAGGATTGATGGAGAGGATGCTCATTCCTGTTTACGTTAATGAGAAGCGTGGCGGGTGGGCAGGGCCTTAGCTGGGGAGCCAGAGCCAGGGCTTCTCCTCCCAGGCCAGGCCTTGCCCAGGCTGTTCCTCTGGCGAGTCCTCACTCCCCGCACCTTGGGAGGACCTTGTCCTGGGATGGGAGGGTCGAGAGGGCGTGTTCTGTAAGAGGCGGGATTCTCTACAAATGCGCAGCATTTCATTTTGACCCGTTAGTTCCTCCTTCTCTGTGGTCTTAGGAGCCTCTCCACTGTGAAGGGGTTGAGTCAGTAGAGGAGAGAGTAGAGCAACCTAGATTGGACCCTGGGTGACACGGGAGGCAGTGATGTAATTTGTGTAGAACTGGTTTTAATGTTACCCTGGTTGGGAAAGGGACAAGGTACTCTCCTGGTCTTCTTGCTGCCAATTGACCACTTCCCCTCAGTCGCACTGACCTCCATCTTCTTTTCCAAGCCCCAGAGCTCAGCCTTCATACAGCTCCTCTTCCTAGTGCTCAGTTGGTCTCCTCTCTTTCAAGATGCACAGGACTCCCAAATGCCTATCCCCAGCCCTCAGCAGCTCCCCAGCACTCTGGTCTCCTGTATCCAACCGTCTGCCCTCTGTCCCCACAGATGGCCAATCAGCTCCTCAAACTTAGGCGGCAGACTGCTGTCCTCTTGTTTTACTCCTCTGCTCTTCCTGACCCAGTCCTCCCCATTCGAGGGGTTTGCCTGTTATGTCAGCACATCCTGTAGATCTCTGCTCAGCTGACACCGCTTCAGAGAGGCCTTCTCTGCCCATCCCATCTGAAGTTCTCCCCACATCTTAATCTGCACCCCGCCCCTTGCTTCTCTCCCTCGTCCTTGTGCCATTAGAATGGGGATCTTACCAGTCTTATCATCACTGTTTTCAGTGCCTCAAAGGATGCCAGGCTTTAATGGGGGCCGAATAAATATTTATTGAAGGAAGGAATAAGTGAATGAAAGAAAGAAGAAAGAAAACAAAAGGGAAGAAGCAGTTTTACATAGAATTTGCTAAACACTGAGGTAGAACAAAAGGAATTGGTGAAGTTCTGGGAATGCTGTCTCTTAAGTTTTTTTTTGTTTTTTTTTTTAATCTAATTCATAAATTGAGTATGAATGTTCTTTAGGTCTTCATTGAGGGCTAAAGTAGTTTAGGGGTCTTGAAGAAAGATGTAAATGCTTAAGCAGTTCTGGAGTCTCATCGTAGTAGTTAGTTAGTAAAGGTACTAAGATTGAATTCAGCCTAATGCTGAGTTTGAAGATTTTTAAATGTGTAAATAGATTTTCAAAGTGCAACTGAATGTTGTTATTGCTCCTGAGCCATCGAATCCCGTGCTGAAGTCGCCATCTCTTTCCCTCTGCTGGCCATGAAAGTGTTGGGCAGGAAAGGCCGACAGCCTGTTTCCAGAGCTGCCCTTTGCAGGCCTTGGCGTCTGGCTGGAAGGATGGATTGCTAAGAGGCCTTTGGAACTGGCTTCTGAGCATTAACTCCTCCCACCAGGAGCTCAGTAAATGACCCCTTCCACCTGCTGCCATCCAAACTTGGAATTCGGTCACATCACTGGTTCCCGCTCCTGCTGGGTGGATGTTATAATCAGTCTCAAGGAGAAAGAAAGGCGAGGCAAGTTGCTTCGCTGCTCTGCCAGCCTCTGTTTGCAGGGACAGTTCACTGCGTCCAAATTAAACTTCACGCGGTGCCATTTTTCCCCTGTGCACATTGATGAGTTGGGTAGCCTCACGCTTATGAAACATTGCTTGCTATTCTGTGGCCAGAATCTAGATGGTGAACTTGTGGAATTTTAGAAATGAAATCCCCACTGGCCACGGCAAGGTAAATAAAGAATCTACAGTGCCATCTGCTGGCATCCTAAGGAAATGCAGCAAGAGCTGTCTAGTAGAAGCAACTCTTAGAAAATGGGAAAGATCCAAAGTGCAAACCTGAGGATAAATTACTCAAAGTGTGTATCATTTGAAGAACGGAGATGCAAACAATGAAAGAATAGTAAGTCTGTGGGTTTACTGAAGAAGTGATTAATTACCTGGTTTGGGGCCATGTTGGTGGTTCAGGTTATTGAGGTTTATCTGTATCAGCAGTCAAACTGGCAGCCAGGCTGGGGCAGGGCGTGGACCAAATCAGATGCCCAGACATGTCCTGAGTAACTTGGACACATCTTTAAAAACATTGAATTATTTGCCATCACTTAAAAATGTGGAGCTCTGGTTTTTAAAAAATGCAGACTTCTGGCTCTTAGAAAATCTAGCAAGATGCATAGTGCACTTGCCAATTGGCAGCTACTGACCGGAGGACCTACATACTGGCTGCCCTCTCTTTTTGGGGGGCATCCAGACTCGCATGGCTTGGGGGTCCCCCACTCCCTTAATGATTTCTCCTACAACTGGCAATCTTGCTTACTCCTGGCCTGAGTGGCATTTGTGGTCCTAGGCCTGTATGTTTGTTATTATTTGCCTTCCTTTTCCCATTTGCTCAAGAGACTTCCCAATGGCAGTCATTTAATGGGTACTCATAGTTCACAGGAATGGAAGATAAGGCTTTGCTGGCTCTGCTGAGTAATATGGATGCTGGCTCAACCTCCTGGGATTGTGCGTTCCCCCTCGAAGGCAGGGCTTCCTGGTAACCAACTTGTTTTTCTTTTCTAGGAATTCTCTTCACAAGTCAAACTCAGAAGACAGCGCTGTAGGTCAGTACCCCATGTCTTGGTTTATCTATTTTAAATGAACTACTTTCTTGTAACACTTTACAGAATATATAAGCAGGTGAAAATACAAAGGCCACCAAGAAGACTTCCGCCCTGAAATAAACACTGTTAAAGATATTGATGTTCAACTTTCCTCTGATTTGGAACTTTTGAGTCAAAGATTGTGTGAGTCAAAGACAATGAGGGTGTTAAAGATTTCCTGTTTCCCTGATGATAAAATCCACTCTTGATGCAGTGACGCTTTTTTCTGTTTGGGTCAGAGGGAGCCTTGCAAAGCAATCTTGATTAGGAGCATGAATGCTCAAGTGAGGTTTTTTTTTGTTTTTGTTTTTTTTTTTTTTTTTTAATACATATATTTTATTGATTTTTTTAACAGAGAGGAATAGAGAGTTAGAAAAATCGATAAGAGAGAATCATTGATCAGCTGCCTCTTGCACATCCTCTAATGGCCTTGACCAGAATCAAACCTGGCACCTTTCAGTCCACAGGCCGAAGCTCTATTCACTGAGCCAAACCGGTTTTGGCTCACATGAGGTTTTTTTTTTTTTTTTTTTTTTTTTTTTTTTTTTTTTTTAAAGATATTTTATTGATTTTGTACAGAAAGGAAGGGAGAGAGATAGTCAGAAACATCGATGAGAGAGAGTCATCGATCAGCTGCCTCTTGCACACCCCCTACTGGGGATATGCCCGCAACCAGGGTACATGCCCTTGACCGGAATCGAACCCGGGACCTTTCAGTCCCCAAGCCGACGCTCTATCCATTGAGCCAAACCGGTCCCGGCTCACATGAGGTTTTGACTTGAATTTGAATCATCTCTCTGCCAACTTGATAGCTGTGACCTCAGGCAGACCACTCGCCTTCCTGAGCCTCGGTTTCCTCATTCACTGAATGGGGACAATAAAACATCATATGTTCCTTATGAGCATTAAATGAGATAGCCAAGGGCCTGGATATAATAAATGCTACATAAATGTTAGCTATTACTATTTATTTTTTAAGCCGTACCTTCATTTTAGAAACATAAAAATAGAAGTAGGGGGAGTGTAGAAATACGTGATATTCCAGATTGCCAGGGAGAAAGGTTGACTGAGTAATAATCCTGCTTTTGCTTTCACCTTTCCTGGTTTACCCCAAAGGCAGCAGTGCCCTCAAGATGTACCAGGGAGTCTCAGGCCCGCCCGCGCTGGTTCCGATCCCATAGCTCCAGAGGTTCTCAGAACTTAGATGAGCACATCTGTTTTAAAAAAAAAATGATGTCCTTTCTAGCCTGGGACACCATGGTGGGGTTGCCACGAGTCTGTCTTCTGCAGCATTGCCTGGCACTGCCAGTCTAGACTGTGGGAACCAGCAGTGTGCCAATGGCTGAGCCCTGAGTCCCGGGGCTGTGGGGCAACCAGGCACCAACGGTGACGAAGCTGCAGCTGCGAGCGTGTCCCCTCTGCATGAGAGCACACGTCGCTCTGCCGTTTAATTTTGTTTTTAAAAAAATAAAGGATCGCTTTATCCTTTCATTTTATTCGCCTTGTTTCCCTTTGCTTTTTAGTTATTACACATTGATGATCAGAACTCCCCCCTTCCCCCATATTAAAAATGTCTAGTGTATGACAGTGTTTTCATTGGAAAGTCACTCGGAGTCTGAGATGGAGGGGGCCCTGTTGGCAGCTATCACAGCAGGAGAGTAGTCTGCTTCTCCTGTCATGGTGCCCTGGGTGAGCTGTGGGAAGGTCACTAGGTAGCCTGATGCCAGAGAGCTGGAGTCCTGCCCAACTCGTTGCTGGATGCATGGGAGCTCCTCACCTTAGGGACCCGGCGAGGGGCAGCTCCTCAGGCCCTCGAGCCCAGGGTGCACAGGGATGTACCAGCCGCTCTCTCCATTAGTTCGGGGGTAACAGAAATAAGTCAAGGGTAGATCAACAGCATGAATAACAACAAGACAAAGCAAACTTCTCCAAGCATCGTGTTTGTGGTTTACTTGAACTAATTGTGGCTGCAGACCAAAGCGGGTGGGGGATATCCCACAAGGCAAGGCAGGATTGCATATATCCATTCAACATCAAAGAGAATGTAAGAATGCGTGTTTTGCCTGCCTTTTTTGATGTTTCCTTATTTCTCATCGTATCCCTACTGCCACCAGGAAATTTGCATTTCTTATAAACGACTTTATAGGCATTTCCAAGTCATTGCACAGACTGAAAGAGAAAAACTGTTTGTGAAATCAAAGTATTTTATAAGCTTTGAAGTATAAGGAAGAGGCTACTTTTGTTATTAATGAATTTATTGCTTGTGTCTTTTTTTTTTTTTTTTTTTTTCAAGGAAAAGGAGACTGGAAGAAGAAAAATAAGTATTTCTGGCAGAACTTCCGAAAGAACCAGAAAGGAATAATGAGGCAGACTTCAAAAGGTGCGGAAACAGCCGGCGGACAGTAGGGCCTTTTAGCTCTCGAGTGTTCAGCAGCCTGTGCCTCTGATCTGGACTGTTGCTGCAAGTTAGCATTACTTATCGCCCGTGCCCCGGGAATGTTCAGCTCTCTGGCATTCCTTTCCTTACTTTAAAACTTCTTTCCACTGGAATTAAAAAAAAAAAATTTTTATCAAAGAAAATAGAATGGGAAGAGTTAGCAGGCTTTAAAAAACACACACACACACACACACACACACACAAAAAAACCCAGATCTGAGGGCAAAGACCAAATTTCCCATTTTCTGCGGGCAGAGGTCTACCCAGAAGAGTCTAGCATTTGTTAGTTTGGGGCCTCCCCTGTGCCCCGCTGCTTGGGGCCTTGGCAGTCTTCTGAACTTTGAATGCCGGTCTGTGGCTGGGACCGTGACTGGGTTGTTGCCTTGGAAACTCTATCTGAGGGTCTGACATCATGGGAATTTGCCCAGGCTGCTTGCGGAGGGAGCCCTGCCCGCCTCCTGGCTGGGCCTTTGTTGTTGTTTATGCAGTAAGTAAACATGTCATTCCTTTGAGGCTCGATTACATAATGGATGCTTCCCCGGCCTCCAGTGGGGAATGGGAACAGAGCTGCTCCCTGACGCCAGTCCCGCTAAGGAAGGTCAGCATTAGAGGAGCGTTTTTACCGGCTCCCCAATGCTATTATTACTTGGTGGTTGTTTGTTTGTTTGTTTTTTTGCAACATCTTGGTGTCCAGCCCTGTTGTTCTCAGGGCTTTTCCGCTTTTTCACACACGCACGTAGAAACGAGGCAAGCGGACCCAGACAGTGTGCCTGCCAGTCGCACACCTGGCTTCCTTGGTTGCCTCCGTGGGGCTCGGTTTTAAAGGTGTCCTGCGTAAGGAGGGTTATTCTCAAACACTCTCAGATTTCCCTCTGGTACACACCCAGGGTCACGTGTGATTCAAAGGAAACCTTGGGTTCAAACAGAGTCTTATTTAAGAAGAAGGAGAAGGAGAAGGAGCAAGAGAGACGGGGCTGGAGGGATGAAGGGAAGGAGCGGGCAGTTAAGCAGCTCGAGGAGATTTATTTTCAGAGCTAGCCATCTGGCTGTCACCCCCTCCACCCTGGAGGTGACAGAGATAGTCAAATGAATCAAACCGGCAGGCTTTTCCGCTGGCCCAGACACTCTATTATCCTCCCCCTGCACGGGGGACGAGTGGCAGAGGGAACGTGAGTGCTGTTTCTGACTGATGGATTGCGGAATGGAAATGAGAGAGGGAGACACAGGGGAGCATAAATTCCGGGGCAGGTCCGTTCGGGGAGATCCTACAAGTGTGCAGCCAGCCTCTCCGCCCTGCCCCTTCCACCAAGGGCAAATTCAGCCGTAGGAGCCTCCTAATGACTCCAGGCTAGTGAGGTATGTGAGGGGCAGACGGAGAAAGATGAGGGCTTAGACTGAGGGCTGATTCCCAGGGTGCCTCTTCCACTGCCACTTCTTGCAGCCACTTCTTCACCACGCGCTGACCAGGGGTACACGTGCTAACATGGCTCACATGTAGCAGAGGCGCCGGCAGTCTGTGTACTTCGTAGGAGAACATGCTCCAAGTAACCGAATGGTGGTTTTCCTCTGAAGTGCTGGCTGCCTTCAGCTTCCAGGGGGCAGTTGAGTCCCCCTCACAGTTTGGGAATGCTTATGCCAGTAACACTCTCAGATATGTACACGTATGGTACCTTCCTTCTGTGGACCCCAGAATGCTTCCCATCCGTGGTTTGACTTATTGTGCTGATTTCCGAGGAATAGCCATCAGTTAGCTTAGCAGGAGTCTAGGGTTTCTCAGGCAGCTGGCTCTGTGACCTTTCTCTGTCACAGCAGAGGGTTCTCGCCCTCTTTTCCCCAAATTATTTTCATCTGGATCATATTCAAAATGGGTGGACTCAGGGAACTCTCAGCCGAAGGGGCCGAGGATGCTTGTCTGCGAGAGCTCTTTAAATTTGGTCTCTACCCACCTCTTACTCCCTGTGGGCTTCCTCCCCAAACTCCTTCACGAGAGCCCGCGTCACAAATGCTCCGGTTTGTTTCATGGTAACATCCATATGTCCTTGGTTTCCCAATGAGATGGGCTCCGTGGCGTCCTACAGAGCAGCCCCTGACTGCTCCTGCTGCTCCGTCAGTGATGGACATCACTGGCCGTGCCCATAGGCAGCCCTAGTCCTGGGTGAGATGTTCTCAGGCTTGGCATTCTGATCACCTTTCTTGTCTTCATTCCTATTGTCTTTTATCTCCAACCTCTAGGAGAAGATGTGGGCTATGTTGCAAGCGAGATAACAATGAGCGATGAGGAACGGATTCAGCTGATGATGATGGTCAAGGAGAAGATGATCACCATTGAGGAGGCGCTGGCCAGGGTAAGGCTGCAGGGATTTGTGTGAGGGGGGCCTCCTCAGACTTAGAAAGGTTGGTGTACTCTAAATAACACAATTTCCAGGTGCTAATTTTAAGAGTGCACATAGCTCTTTGCAGATGAGTTTAGGGTATTCAAATCTTGGACTAGTTCCAGAAGGCTTAAAAGCCCATAAGATATTTGGAAACCTCAGTTTATTCATTGATCTGGGTAGTTTTGTGGTGTGTGAGTGAGTAAGGAATAAACTCACTTTAAAGCTTTGGGTGAAAGAGAACATGATTATTTCTGTGTGATGGTACCAGCAATGATTGTAGAGAAATACGTTCATTGACATTTTAATGGGGAGAACTGTCTGTAGGAAATAGATCTGTGACCATGATTTAATAATTGTATTTTCTAAAAAATAATATAATACTAAAGATTGCTCATGTGACTTGATCTAGTGACTAAATATTACATAGTTATCTATCTGATAAATGTGTCTGATAAATATGTGTCCACAAGGTCACATCAGTGTGAGAGTTCAAAATAAAGTTCTTAAAGTATTTTGTTTTTAAAAAAAGAGTCCTTGAGTTCTGTTGGTGTTGCACAGTGGTTAAGCATCAACCCGTGAACCAGGAGGTCACGGTTCAATTCCTGGTCAGGCACATACCCTGAGTTACAGGCTCAATCCCTTTTAGGGAGCATGCAGGAGGGAGCATGCAGGAGGCAGCCTATCAATGATTCTCTTTCATCATTGATGTGTCTCCCTTTCCCCCTCTCCCTTCCTCTCTCTGAAATCAATAAACACATATTTAGAAGAAAAAAAAAAGTCCTTGATGTTTATTACTAACTTGACTGATGTTTTGGCATGGTGAACTTTTCTTAATGCCAGTGTCTTACATTAAGTTCCCAGAATCAGAGCCTGATATGATTTATTGAAAGGTAGCTTTCAGGAGAAACTTCTAAGTGCTGAGAGAGGGAAGCAGGAGTGGGAAGCAGCGAAAGAAGCTGGTCAGAGAAGGGAGTTCAGGAGAAGTCTAGCCTCAGCCCGATTCCTTAGGGAGCGGGGAGCCCTGGAAGGTGAATTACATAAGAGAACTTGTTCTGGGTGAGAAAAAGAGGTTACAGACTGACGGGGAGCAGGGAGCAGGGAGCAGTCAGCAGGCTCCTCAGCATCTCTGGGAAACTGCTCCTCATGGGGAGACAACCACGCAGGGAGCCTGCCCCAGAGTAGGGATAGGTGAGTGGCTTTGTAAGGGGAGTCTGGGCACCTGGAATGCCAGAAAACCACATGATGAACTGGGAACCTGTGTATGTTTTTGAGTTGTTTTCTTGTAGCAGCTATTGGAGCATCCGAAGTGATTTTGACAATTAGAGAGGTTTATGGAGAGCAACAAAGTGACTGAGGCTTTCTTCTTAAAGATCCTGGGGTGAAATGGGAAAGGATTAATCTCAGAGAAGAAGCAGAAAAGAGTTTAATCACTTTTCTCAAGTATGAGAGGGATTATTAAATAGTACATCTTCAGGATGCACTGAAGAGTGTTTTATTTTCCTTTAATCTCAACTGAGGGCAGAATAAAAGGAAATGAGTTTAATTGCAGCTGGAGGGGATTTGGAGGAGATATAATACAAATGTTCTTTCCAATAAGCACTCTTAGAAATGGGAACATTTTAGAACATCTCTCCTTACAGGTCTTTAAGACAGAATAAGCATTACTCTACTTAAGATGGCCATTCCCTCTAAGAATTGTGTCACAGACTTCAAGTAGAAAACTAAAGACTAGGAAAAATAGGATGTAAGAGAGTATATTCTCCTCAGAGAGACAGACAGACACACACACACACACACACACACACACACACACACACATACACATACACTTTAAAGTGTCATTATTTTAAAAAGTCTGGTAATTAAATTAACAATTTATAAATTTTATTATATATATTTATATATATTCTCAAATGAAATGATCAGTAGTTTTTCCTTCATTAAATTATATTTAAGTCAATACTTCTTAAGGAGCAAAGTAGAATATAAAAATATAATTATAAATAAAACCAGGTGGGGTTTTTTCCTATAAAATGTACTTTAAAAATTTTAGAGATTGTATTTTGTAACAGAATTACTAATAAAACACATAACCTGTTGAAATTAGGAAAACTATAAAAATAAGTGGCCAGAGTGGAATCTATATTAGAAGAAATACAAGTACTCTTGGGCCCCAAAGTTAAATGATAGTAGAAGAAAAATATTAATTCTGTTTATGATTGACTCGTTAGGAATTTGTCTTGTTTTTAAAGATTAAGTTTATTTAGTGGCTCCTAGGAGTCTGGGCTGAGGCTGAGTATAAGAGTAGAGCATAAGTCCTGGCCAGTGTGTTCAGTGGTTAGAGCGACAGTCACACATCAAAGGGTCACTGTTTGATTCCTGGTCAGGGGCACGTACCCAGATTGTGGGTTTGCTCCCCACCCTGGGTTGAGGCATATGTGTGAAGCAACCAATTGATGTGTCTCTCACATCGATGTTTTTCTCTGTCTCTCCGTCTCTTTCTCCCTCCCTCTCTTCTATTTTCTCTTAAGAGCAATAAAAACATACCCTTGGCTGAGGGTTACAAAAAAAAAAAGAAAAGTAGAACATAGACCTGGAGTAAACAAGTGATAAGCCCGGTTGCTCAGGTGACTGCTATCCCGATAAGACAGTGGAAGTCGGCCTTGCAGAAACCAGTATATCCAGCATTCTGGTACATAATGTAAACATTCTACAGAGATTAGAACAATACTAACGCAATGCCCTAAAGTACTAGAAAGGTTAAACTGAGATGAGTGCCCCTGATAGCAAAAGTGCAAATACCTGGAGTCAAGGTGAGCTCTCCTTTTGCTGAGACCACGGGGTGATAACCATGCTGTGGTAATACACCTCTTGCATAGGAGCCGTATACTAAGAGCTTTGCTGTCTTTTCTTAATTCTGGTAGAGTCCTGTGTGATGGACTTATTGTCGTTCCCATTTTCCTGATGGGAGAACTGAGGCACAGCTCTCAGCAGCTAAGCTCTTGCTCCTTAGTCAGTACTGTCTGCCTGCCTCCACCTGGTTCAGCTCCTGTCACATGTGCCCACATAAAGCATTTCATAGCAGAGGCAAAGCTTTGGAAAGCAGCTGGAGGGACATCGTCCGTTTGGTGGCTTTGCCATGCCCACAGAGCCCCAGTGGTTGAGGGCAGTGTGACACCGTATCCTGGGCTGTCAGGTCAGAGGTTTCCATTGCTTGGAGGCTTTATTCATGGAACAAGATTTGATCAGTTCCTTACATTCATATATAAAAACTGCTTTAGAGTAAAATTTTAATGCAGTGACGGTTTCATGGTAGTATGTAGCAGAGTTAAATTCCTATGTGTTTTATGAAAAACACACGTAGGACTTTTCACATTTGCCAATTTTCTATACTATTTCACTTGTCTTTTTGTGTTTTTCAAAAAAGTAGTTTCTAAACATCAACTTTCAACGTCTCTGCACATAATGTAGATCCGTTGTTCTTTTCCCGTCATCCATCAGGGTTCCCAGTAAATCCCATTGTTTTTATTAACATTGAACTGGGCACTTAAAAAACCATCTAGAACAAGAAGAGCAAATGATTTTAAAATAACAGTTTCAGGCCTTCCCCGCTTTTGTTCAAATGTTCATAGTCTGCTGTATTGTGTCTTCCACAAAGAGAGGTAATTCAGAGCGGGAATGCAAACAAATTTTGCTATAAAACTTGCATTGAACTGTGAGAGATGAGTTTTGATGTCAGAGGGAGGAAATCAAGGTTCCTTTTGGAATACAGAATACAGAGAGTCACTGTGTCTGTGGCTTTATATTAGATGAAAAGCCACAGGGCAGGGCGTGGGTCTTTCTTTTGGTTTTGTGAAGCTGGCCTTTGGCTGGCTGGCACTTTGTCACCTCTAGTGGCATGAAGAAGGTGCCACAGTGTTCTCTCTGCTGCTTGGTAGACAGTTGTTGGCAATTATTTCCATTTCAACCTTCTTTTTCCTCTCTTGGCAGCTCAAGGAGTACGAGGCCCAGCACCGGCAGTCAACTGCCTTGGACCCCGCCGACTGGCCGGAAGGCTCTTACCCCACATTTGATGGCTCATCAAACTGCAATGTAAGTTCACTTTCTCTTTGAGCATCCCAACCATTTCTAGTAAAAAGGGATGTCCTGTGCAATTTCAGCCTTGCATTTACTTCTAGCAGTTAACTTCCACCAGGATCTGAAAAGGAGCGGATCTTCCTACATGTTAACTCAGTATTCTTTACTCCATAGAAACTCACCTAGTCAGAATTGGACTATTTCTGCTGTGTTTTTGTTCTTTTTTCTAATTGTAGTAACGTATACATAATTTATAATTTACTATTATAAGCATTTTTAAGTGTTTGTTTCAGTAGCATTATTGTATTCACGTTGCTGTGCAACCATCACCACAGTCCACTTCCAGAGCTTGTTCATCATCTAAAATAGAAATCCCATAACCATTAAATAATTACTTCCTCTCCTCCTCTGCTCCCCACAGCCCCTGGGAACTGCCATTCCACTTTCAGTCTCTGAATGTGACTATTCTAGGTATCTCACATAAGTGAAATGATAAAATATTCAACCTTTTGGGTCTGGTTGATTTCACTTAGCACAGTGTTTGCAAGGTTAATTTATGCTGCAACATATACTTCATTCCTTTTGATGGATGAATAAGTGGAATATTGATTCTGCTGTACATAAAAACTGCATTTTGTTTATTTATTCATCTGTTTAGACACTTGGGGGTTTCCACTTTTTGGCTATTGTGAATAGTGCTGCTCTGATCATTGGTATGCAAGTATCTGAGTTTGCTGTCAGTTCCTTTGGGTATATACGTAGGATTGGAATTTCTGAATCAGAAGCTAGTTTTGTATTTAACTATTTTGAGGAACCTCCATACTGTTTTCTATAGGACTAGCATTTTACACTCCTGGCAGTAATGCGTGAAATCTTCTCCTTTCCCCTATTTTAGGATAATAGTCATCCAGTGGTTTGTGAACTAGTATCTCATTGACATTTTGATTTTCATTTCTCTAATGACTCAGAGGTTGGTTATTGTTTTGTGTGTTTGTTGGCCATTTGTATATCCTTGGAGGAATGTCTATTCAAGTTCTCTGTCCATTCTTGAATTGGGTTTTGTTTTGTTGTTGGTTGTTAACTTGTGGCAATTCTTGATATATTCTGGGTGTTAAGCTATTACTGGATACACAATTTGTAAATATTTTCTTGCATTCTGTGGGTTGCCTTTTCATAGTCTAATTTGTATTTTTCTTTTGTTGCCAGTACTTTAGTATCATATCCAAGAAATCATTGCCAAGTTTAAAGTCATGAAGAGTTTCATTTAAGAGTTTTATAGTTTTAGCTCTTGAAGTTTAGTTCTTTGCCCCATATTTGGTTAATGTTTGCATATGAGGTAACATGGGTCCAGCTTCGTCCTTTTGCAGGTAGAGTCCCAGTTTTCCTGAACCATTTTTAATTTTAATTTTTTACTGATTTCAGAGAGAAAGGGAGAAGTAGAGAAGTTGCACGTCCCCTACTGGGGATCGAGCCTGCAACTCAGGCATGTACCCTTACTAGGAATGGAGCCACGACTTTCTGGTTCATAGGTAGATGTTCAATCACAGAGCCACACTGGCCGGGCCTGAACCATTTTTTAAAAAAAAGACTCTCCTTTCCCCCATTAAATAGTCTTGGTACCCTTTTTGAAAATTTATTGACTGTATATGCAAAGATTTATTTCTGGGATTTCTATTTATTCAATTGGTTTATGTGTCTTACTGTTGCTAGTGTTATATACGGTTTTGGATTAATGTAGATTTATATGAAGTTTTGAATTTGGAAATTGTGAATCCTTCAACTTAGTTATTTTTTTTTTCCAGATTGTTTTGGCTGTTCCATGTGAATTTTAGGATGAGTTTTTCTATTTCTGCAAAAAAAAAAAAAAAAAAAAAAAAAATCCCATGGGATTTTAATAGGGATTGCATTGGATCTGTATATTGATTTTGGTAGTATTGTCATCTAAACAATATGAAGTCTACTAATCCATGAACACAGGATATCTTTTTTTATTTATGTTTTCTTCAATGTCTTTTTAACAATTTTTGTAGTTTTCAGTCTTGCCTCCTTTGTTAAATTTATTCTTAAGTGTTTTATTATTTTGATGTTATTATAAGTGAATTTTTTTCTTATTTCCTTTTTAAATTGTTCATTGCTGCTGTATAAAAATGAAACTGGTTTTGTATCCTGAAAAATGATATTGCTTTTATATTCTGCAACTTGGCTAAGTTAACATTGTTTGTTTGTTTGTTTGTTTGTTTGGTGTATGTGTGGAATCTTGAGGGCATTCTACAGATAAGATTATGTCATCTATGAAAAGAGACAATTTTAATTTTTTTAAAATATTTTTTTATTGATTTCAGAGAGGAAGGAAGAAGTAGAGAGAGATAGAAACATCAATGATAAGAATCATTGATTGGATGTCTCTTGCACACCCCCTACTGGAGATGGAGCCTGCAACCCAGGCATGTGCCTTTGCCCAGAGTCGAATCTGGGACCCTTCAATCTGCAGGCAGACACTCTAGCCACTGAGCCAAATTACTTAGGGCGAGAATTTTGCTTTTCATTTTCCATTTTTGTGGATGTCTTTTTATTATTTTGTAGATTCTTTTATTAATGTAACCAAAACAGTGCTCCTTAAACTACAAGTTCCACAGGGACTTTAGGAATTAAAATTCCAATGTTTCAAGTCTACATTTCATGGTGCCATCATTAAACTGTCAAGTCTTCTATTATGGACTAGTTTTGTTTGTTAGGGCATCTTTTTCTTAATATCTGGAAGCAACTCTATCATCACATAGTCAGCCTCTTTCTTCTATCTATGCTCCGCTCCATACAGCCAGTCATATTTCTAAAATATACCTTTGTCCTTGCAAGCCTGAGTTTTTAAAAAGCCCGATTGTTTCCTGGTTCGGTCAGATACATTCCAAAGTTTTTGGATGTGATCTTGCTTTAAATCAACTTCTCCATTCTTGTCTGTCATCTCCTCTCCCAGTAGTCTCCACTCCAGCCACATTGGACCCTGCTTGCTTTACTGAACACAGCTTGTATTTTCACGCTTTCTGTTTTTGTTTAGGCAGTTTCCTCGGCCTAAAATGTATTCCTTCAAATTGCAGGTGAAAATCTATGCATCCTGCAAAGTGAAGCCAAACTGCCTATGAGAATTCTTTTAACCTCCTCATGTAGAGTTGATTGCCTCCTAGTCTGTGCATTTGGAAAACCAGCTTTGTACCTGAAGTCTAAAGTTATACTGGAGTACCAGAATCCTTTGCTACACATTCCCACCTCCTGGGACATTGTGGGCTTCTTGAGCAGGAAAGGCATGCTATGTTATTGTGTCTCCAGTGAGTGCTAGCTTCGTGTCCAGCACATGTGTGTTTGAAAAACGTTTAGGGAACAAAGTTGTATTTGAATGTTTATGCTTCCTGGCTGCTTTGGAGCATGTTTTATGTTTTGCAACTTCAGACTCAGTCTTTGCCTTTCTTTGCAACTAAGCAACAAATGATGGCTTATCAGAAATAAATAGAACCCTCCGGCTACCTTATTTTCACGATTTCTAGAATCCAGTACCAGATTTCCTTTGCAGCTAAGAAAAATCCCAAGAAGATTATTAATTTGGAAGCCTTGCCTGGGTTGCTCTCGTGTGAAACAGACTGAGATGTTGCCATTTATGATAATAAATGTGTTATGCGCTGGCCAGCAGCATGTCCTGGGACTATGAGGTAATCAAAAGAGCCATGGCCATGGTTTGCAGTGTGCCTTTTTGGGTCTCTTATCCCCAACTCCTAAATCTAACATACTATAAAATGTAAATCATGAACCTAAGGAATCATGAAGAATAAACAGTAACTCAGGACTGATATGAGGCAAACCTAATTCGGGGAAGAACACAAAGACCCGGTTGTCCTAGTAGGTCCTTTAGTGAGACTCACTGTGCACTGTCCTGATTAATAGCATCTGAGTCAAGGGAGGGGCAAAAAGACTGTCTATTCAGAGAGCCACGACTATTGTAACACCCACACGCTGAGGCAGCACATATGTATGAATATCCTATCTAATCTAATAAGAGAAACATGCAAATTGACTCTACCTCTTCTATGCCCACAAGCCACGCCCACCAGCCAATCAGGAGTGAATATGCAAATTAACCCAACCAAAATGGTGGCAGACACAGAGCTGGAGCAAGCAGGAGGCTTGGGTTGTCCCTGGTGATAGAGGAAGCCAAGCTTCACTCCACCCTGGCCTGCCCTGACCCCGCTCAAGGCTACAAAGTTTCAATTATAGAAGATAAATAAATCCCAGATACCTGCTTCCAGCATGACGTGGGTCATGGCGGGGGGCATGGCCGGTCTGCAAAGCACCATAGGCCCCCTCACCCCAGGCCGCCCTATGCCCCAAGGGAACCCCCATCCTGATCTGGTTCACCCTTCAGAGCAAACCAGCCAGCGCCATCCATGCACCAGGCCTCTATACTATATAATAAAAGAGTAATATGCAAATTGACACTCCAACAGACAAGATGGCTGCCCCCATGTGATCAAAGATGGATGCCCCCATGTGGGCATAAGATGGCTGCTACAAGATGGCCAGCAGGGGAGGGCAGTTGGGAGGGACCAGGCCTTCAAGGGAGGGCAGTTGGGAGCAATTAAGCCTGTAGGGGAGATCAGTTGGGAGGGAACCAGGCCTGTAGGACAGGGCACTTAGGGGTGACCAGGCCTGCAGGGGAGGTCAGTTTGGGGGGGCGGGGGGAGAACTAGACTAGCAAGTGAGAACAGTTAGGGACAATGAGGCTGGCAGAGGAGGGCAGTTAGGGGTTACTGGGTTGGCAGGGGAGGGCAGCTGGGGGGGACCAGGCCTGCAGGGGAGGGCAGTTAGGGGCAAATAGGCTGGCAGGGAAGCAGTTAGGCATCAATCAGGCTGACAGGGCAGTGATTAGGGGGTGATCAGGCGGTCAGGGAGAAGTGGTTAGGGGCAATCAGGAAGGCAGGCAGGCAAGCATTTGGAAGCCAGCAGTCCTGGATTGTGAGAGGGCCTAA